GTTCATATACTGATGTGCACAAGAATGGTAAAGAAACTGCATCTGTGATTAATGCTATTGGAATCCTTACAAACACAAGAATAGATAAAACATCGTGTGTCAATAGAGCAGAAAAATGCCAATGCAATAAAAAGAAATGACCTATAAATGCAGAAAAGAATATGAATCACAAGGTTGCTATGAAAAGAATAGATAATACTACAAAATTAGCACATGCTGACAGAAAGTGCACAGTGGCACATAAAGGCATTCAGGGGTCATAGTGCAATTATTAACAGGGGCATTGCTTTAATAGTGAACGTGGTACGTAGATCAACATGAAATTATACTTCTGTAACATGTAAAGCTTATGGTTTGGTAATTACAGTTCTCTTACAGAAAACAAATTATGTCCGACTTTGTAAAAATTACAGAGGGCTATTCTAGCTTGACATTTCCTTCACAGAACTATGATAGGAAAAATGGAGGCCTTTTTTGTATGTACAACAATAAGGGTTTTCAGACACATGAATTCTGTTGGCTACAAAGAGTTACATTCGGAAATTCTCTACTACTATGTTCATAATTTCACTGGTTTGGTATATAGCTTTCAAGTTCGCATTAAAATTTGGACAATCAATTTTTTTCTATGTAAGAGTTTCACATATGTATGAAAAGGTGTGTATGGTGAATAGATGAGCATTGTATTTTTATTTAACTTTAATAAATCATTATTTTGACATGTATAGAATATTAAACTACCATAGCATTTACTCTAGATCTATTTTTAAATCTCTAACTACATATTTGATCCGTTAGTGTGTTGTAACCACTTCTACAACTCTCTATTCTACAATAGGCCAATAAACACAATATAGTGCAATTCATTGGGTGAGACTATATGACCTGAACAGGGAAGAGTTTGGAGTCTATAAATAGATATTCTGTGGTAGAATCCTGCTTTATTCTTTTGTCAGCTATGAGAGTTGAAGACATTAATTCCCCTTAATCTCTTTTGAGTTTTCCTGTCTTCATAGACACAATAATAACATCTTCTCCATAGGGCTGTTTGATACTTAGATGAGGTAGAAGATTTATAAATAAAAAGATTACAGTGTTTCCCCCAGAGTAAACCCAGAGTTATCATCTAATAAGTGTTTCTTTCCGGAGGCTCACTCTCTTTTTTTCAGATCAGCTGTGTTGCACATTTGTTTATGTTCTCAGCTCACCTTCCAGTAGCATATCCCTACCTCATTCTCCACCAGAGAGATGGCTGGTACAATCTACAGTGCCAACTGGCAGAAATTTCAATGGAAATATGTAAAAATATGAGAGAATAAAAATTTTCCCTTTGCTATTACTTAAGAAATGATGAGCAGAGTGAAGTTGTTTTTATCTCTATATTCCCTTCCATTTCTTCTTATTATCATGAAAAGGGCTTCAGACATAGCTCTTTAATCCACAAATATCTATTACAACTGTTTATAAAATAGCTGCTTAAAGGTCTGCTGTTCATCATTATTTATTATAGATTTCTCACAAACACACTTATACTTTACGTCTTAATTTTCCCTTGGACAGTACTCCAGGCTGGGTGCTGAAGCACCACATACTATTCACCTGTTGTAAATGTTGTAAATTTCTATTGAGTCATTTAAAATTTACACTGGTTTTCTTCCCATCAATTTTTCCCCTAGATGGGTTTATAGGAAAAAGAAGTTGATGGTTGTTGAGATTCCCTACCAAACACGTTGTGCTCTCTTTGGCATGGTTCCACATGGTTGCCACTTAGGTTTACTGTAAACAAATGAAGGATTTTGTTGTCTCCGTTGAAGCCATTTCCCAGATGATGTACAGTCTTTTCTGTGTTCTTCTCCCAGAATGCCCAAGACGAAATATCCATGGCACACAGGTCAATATACACAAATCCAGAGAAAGTCTTTCCTTACTGTTCTGGAGATGAAGAACAAGGCTCCCATCTCTGACCTTTGATGAAGTCCCCAACCTATAAATGCAATATATCATTCTCACCTCATTTTTGATGTTAGTCGGCTTTTGTTTTTATTTTACCAGCTTGAATAAGCTCCTAAAAATAAATGTGTGTTCTCGGTTTTTTTGATTTCCAGTATAATTTTCTACTCTTCAAATGGTGCCAACCATCCTCCTCCATAATGATTGTCTTAGTTCAGGTGTTCTATTGATGTGAAGAGACACCATAACCATGGAAACTCTTATAAAGGAAAACATTTGATTGGGGCTGGTTTACAGATTTATTGTCATTATGTTGGGAAGCATAGTGGCACATAGGCAGACACTGTGCTGGAGAAGGAGCTGAGAGTTCTACATCTTGATCTGCAGGCAGCAGAAGGAGACACTGTGTACCAGCAATAGTGGGTATAACTTGAGCATACAAGACCCCAACAACCACTTGCGCAGTGACACACTTCCTCCAACAAAGTCACACCTACTCTATCAAGGCCACATCTCCTAATAGTGCCATTCCCTATGAGTCAAGCTTTCAAACACACGAATCTATGGGGGGGGTCATACCTATTTAAACCAGTGCAATGATCCATAAAGCCCTCTTGTTTTTAATGCTATGAAATTGGAATATAAACTTTAATTAAAATTAAATTTTAAAAAATTAAATATTTGATCTGTTTCAAATCAGGACAGTTATTATTGATGCCCAAAGTACCTGACTTTGAGGAGGGACACCTTTCTTGCTGGCTCTTGAGAAGTGGACAGCAGCATAGGAGACTTGCTAATCATTCTTGCCACCTGCAGTAAAATAGTTCACAGTTCTTTTAAATCTGACTTGGACCCAGAGTGAAAAATGCCATGCCCTTAAAGAAACTTTACTTTTGATACTAGGAATTTGTATCAAATCGAATACATTGTATCAAATACTTTTAATACAGTGACCACCTGTCTATCAAGGGTGGCCATTGTTCCTCAGCAGGTCATCATTTCTATGTGCACCGCCATGGAGTGTGCCTGTCTCTTCTGAGAGCTAAACTATAACATGGGAATCCCCATTTACTTCTGAGTCAAGACTTAAGATGGAAATATTTATATTTTACCTTTAACCCTACTTTCATGCCTTGGTTTTGGGTGGGTTTTTGTTTGTTTGTTTGTTTGTTCTTTGATCTTTCTCTCAGTTTTCAATACTTTAAGTGTTAGAATTCAAGTATCACATAATTATCTTAGAGTAAAATTATCAACCCTACCATCAGTGTTTGAGTACAGTACACAGATTCACTTCATCTTTAACTTTTCTGTCTCAGCTGTAATCACCAAGGTAAGATAACATATTTTTACCTTTAAAAGTTCTGAAATGTTTGAGTCTATAACACCAAGTGAATTTACATTTATATTGGCATTTCTGAGATATCTGTATATTTAGTTATTAACATTAGTTAATAACATTAGTTATTAAGAGTCTATCTTCTATGCCAACCTGTCATTCATTGTTTTACTCTTTCTCTTTTATCATTCATTTCTAATATTATGATTTTTTTCCATTTAATACACTATGCATTTCTCTTTAAGTGGACCCGTCTTCTAAGCTCAATTTTACTTATCTAAAGAGAGTTACATTGCTAGTTCAAGATTACAGGTATTGTAAACATATATGTATGTGTAGATGGATGTAAGTATAGAGCGTTCATTCAAAGATATATTGCTGCTTACTTAGCCAGATGAATAACTATAGATTGGGATGGTTATTGATTGTAACAATGGGATTCTTACATTGTTGAGCAGAAGATACGCATAGTCAGAGGCAGAGTACTGATCACGAATAAGGTCGTGGGAATCATCCTGGGTGCTGTTACAAAGAAGGCAAACATGACTTTGGCATAGATCTATAGATTGGTCAGCCAAGTACTTCAGAAGTTACGCAACACTCTTTATTGATGCCACATTTGTCTAGAAATGAGAGATGAAATCTTATTGCAGCTGAATCTGTCTTTGTGTTCTTAAGTCCAGAGGAAGCTATCTATGGCTGTGACTAAAACACTGTATTTACCTTCTGTGCCCTCTGTATAATCCCTCATAGCCCATTTCAACTCACTGCTGTCAATTTTTCCTATAAATAAGTCTCTCTATAGTAGTAAGTATAATTACTTACCATAGCTGAAATCAGTAATTATAAATCTCTTGGTAGCTGGAATATTTAATCTCCCAAATTTCTGCGTCCGCGTTTGATTGAATGCCATATATCTACATCCAGATACACATAGATTATTGACAGTAGCTGTTGTTGGTTACTGACATGCTTAATTGTTAATGTGATATGATTTGACTTTTACATCTAACAACTCTGGTCTGACATTTGTTTACTCTGGGAACAAGAATATTCTAAACGACAGGGAAAGGTTATATAGGTAAAGCTAGAAAATATGCAGGAACAAATATATTGCAATGTACTAAAGTGCCTGCGTTTAAGAACTATGCACCATAAAAAACAAATTTATTTAAATTGTCAGTGGTTGGCATATTAGCTGAACACTTATCTTTCATAAAAAACAAAAACATAAAACAACAACAAAAAAGAACTTCCCTGCTGCAGGAGAACATGTCTATATTAGTTCCTTGGCATCTTGATATTTGTTTAAATTGCTAGTCTTCATTTATTATAAGACATATTGAAAAACCATGCAGAGTATAATTAAGATTTATGTACCATTAAAATATAATTTTATAATCCAAAATTTGCTTTTCCTCTGCTTAATGTCTCTTTTCATATGACGAGTTTCCAAATTAATTAAAGAGCTCTCTTTTAAAAAAAAAATCATAATTCAAAAAACCATCCAAACAAATACCTTCCCCTTCACTAACTCACGGGCTAATTAATTATATATCACATTTGCATCCACTCTCCCTAGACTGGATAATTTAGAAACTTAATTTACTAATGGAATTATAGTTGTGTTGCTCGGTTACTGAAGGAAAAAGACGAATCAGATGGGTGGGTTGCTGTTTGTTCTCGATTCTGAACTGTGTCTCTCGTCCTGCAGGCACCCCTGAGGACTACCCCCGCTTCTTCCACATGCATCCCAGGACTGCGGAGCTCACTCTTCTGGAGCCAGTCAACAGAGACTTCCACCAGAAATTTGATTTGGTTATTAAGGTAAATTAAACTAAAACCTAATTTCCTTGTAGTTATGAAATGCTAACCAAAGGAACATACAGAGGCCACTGTAGACCTCAGTTTAAAAATGATAATACATATGAACCATGATAACTGATTTTTTTTCTATAAACATTAAAATTTTTCTCACATGTATAGTAATATTCAATGTATTTATACTATACAATGAATTGGTCAGAGATATATAGTTGATATAACAAATAGTACTTTATCTTTTAGCATATATTTTCTTATAAAAACAACTTTTGGGTATAAAAGATAAAAATTTGCAGCATTAGAATGTACTTTATATATTATTTACCTTAATGTTATTATTGTTGGTGCTGTTGCATTTATAGCATATATTGAAAGGACTTGCCCACCTTGAGATTTTTAAATGTATGCCTTACTATTTTCTTTATGTCAGGAAGATAAACCTAGAACTGAAAGAAAATTTAAAGCTAGGGTAACCTACTGGATATTAAAATAGTATCATTTTTAAGTTGAAATTTAAATAATTATCAATATTAGTATGAATTATATTATATTGAAGCCACAAATTCTGAAAGACTTCACAAGAAAGTTGAGATCTAAGATTTCAGCTCGACACTGAAGGAAAATGAGAATGTGCTGGGTAAAAACACATACTGAATGAGGATAGCAGACAGCAATAAACCCTGGATAAGTCTAATACCTATTCCATGATATTATATACACAGACACACACATGTGCAAATGCACGTGCACATGCCCACAGCATAATTGAAACAAAAACATTAGCGCCGTGGCATTAGTTCAGAGGTAGAACATTTGACAGGCAGGCAAGAGGTCCTGGTTTCTATCCCCAGAACCACATAAATAAATTACCTAATTGAATGAAAAATTTAAATAAAAAGGAAATGAAGAAAGAGGGCTTGCTGAGTAGGCACTCTGGGAATGTTCGTTTTTGTCCTTCTTCGTTGGCTGGTTGCCATCACCCGCCTATTCTCTTGTTTGTACCACTGTGTGTGGGATGTGAAGTTCAGTGTCAGTAGCTATTGTGAGACAGACACATGCTTAATACTGGCCGCAAGTGAGGCTGGCTTTGGCTTTATTTAATCCAAACTTGGGCTCTGTTCACCGCACAAACTATGTGGTGTGCTTATTATTAACTGTAGGTAAGGCCAACTTCAACTACCATTATACTAAATGTATTTAATTTTAGTGCAGAGTACGTGATAGCTTCCTACATCACATTATACTATGTGTAGCTAATTATGTGTTTATTTAGTCATGCTTTGTCCTTGGAGAATTAATAGTGCAGATGTAGGTAAGTCTCCAGCACTCTGGATTTATCTGCTGGCAGAGAGCAGATCAAAGAGGACCTAACAACCAACCAAAGAAAGTATTTCAATTATCTGTAGTTTCAAAGAGTTTCTGAAGATTACCCTTAGCTTAATGTTGCCGGGTCAAGAGATTTTGGTCAGTGAATGAAAGCCAAAATGTGTCTTTTAATAGAAAGGTTTAGAAGCATTGTGTAGCTGACTGCAAGCAATCAGCAACAAAATAAGCAAGAAATAGAGGGAGATCACCTTCTGGGTGGATACAGCCCCCCAGGATGTCACTCAGCAAAGGCACATGGCTGTCCTCCTCTGTACAAAGGGGTCACTCACACCCTCGGTTCTCATCTTGCACTGACCCATGATTATCGTGGACCAGCATAGAAGTCAAACAACATGCATCCATGGCCTATGTCCATCTCCCTGGATACCATGATTCTTTTTTTTTTATAAGTATTGTTTCCAAACTGCTTCATTTAAAAGATGAAATCAGTTTCCTTTACTACCCACATGAGTGCAACGATCCATCAGTTACAGAACAAAAAAAAAATCAATTTGAAATGTGACCAAAAAATTGTTTATGTTTCAATAACACTTTATACTATTACCGAAGGTAGTTGCAGACATTGCTAGATCCACATTGCCATGACCCAAAGGTCCCATGATAGGACCAATGAGTGAAAGTATCAATTAAAAAAAAATAACAATGGGCCTCATACCAAGCTGACAATCCTGGCATTCTTTGAAATGCCGCCACCACACAGTTCTCCTCAGAAGTAAATATTTCATTGTCTTTACTTTTTCTTACATTAGTGTTTTGTTTTTCATTAACTATGGAAGTGTTTTTGTGTTGTTGAATTTGGTCCAAATTTGTTTTGGGGAAAATAAAGCTGAGGAAAATAAACCATGGCAGTGTCTGCCCTTGGCCCGATGGAGACTTCTGCCTTTAAAAAGCCACACGGCGCACTAACAGCTGGCTTGTGTCACAAACCAGAGATTTCTCATCTTTTTTTCTTGCTGTTTCTGCCAGTGATTTATTCTGCATGCTGACAAGAAAAAAAAATGTAAAGATGAAATCTGGAAGACAAAGTTGGATAATTAGAAACAGTGAACAAACCAAACATACTGACCTGAAAAAGGAAGGGATGCTCAGTTGCAAAACACATTCCCAGCCTTTAGTTAGCTGCTCTCATCTGAGGATGCTGGAAAGTTGATGCGTATTAAGAAGAAAAATTGGTCATTTGCTTTGTGCCAGAGTAATCTTACTTATGGACCAGGGTCCTCAAATGAGTGTCCATAACACACTAGGCACTATCAAGAACATACCAGTTTGAATTATGAAATATCTTATCCTTCCACATGGTTCTTCCAAAAGCAACCACAAATTTGCAGTGATGTGGAAATACGAAATCATATTTCAGATGTCAGATGACTCCGTGAGTTTAATGCAGGTGCTGGGTGCCTTTAACAAATCTCAGGGAATTCACTTTTATTAACATTGTATATTTAAATTAGTGTTTATATGCTAGGCATCTAATACAAAGCAAAGCCTTGAATTAATAAAGCAGATCAAATGAATAAATTATTAATAATTTATTCTCCCTGGGTTCCTTAAAGAATAATTGCATTTCATCTAAATCCTTTTGATTAAAAACCTTTATTAAACTCTTATTAAGCAAGGGCCACAGTGAAACTGCTACCATAGACATTATAGTGCCGCAAGCTTCAGGCTGCCTGTCAGTGGCTCACCCACGTGTCCAGCAACCACATCCCATAGTGCCTCGAGCTTCCGGTTGCCACTCAGTGGCTCACTCATGTGTCCAGCAACCACAACCTAGTTTGCCGCCTAAACTACCCCATTCTCATGCTAGTCTATTCTATGAGTCACTTTTGTCACCCACTTCCATTCTCCCACATGAACAACCAAACACCCGCTCCAGTTCGCACATGAACTACCCCACGCTCCCGTTCCGCTTCCGCTTTCTGCACGCAACGGCCCCGCCCTCAATCTACTCTCTACCCATGAATCACCCCAAGCTCCAGAATCCACCATCCACCTATGAACTTCCCCAGCACCCTCTGTCCTGAGCCCAAGCAGGCTTTTCTCGTGAGATTCTTAGCTTTTCCATAGAAATATTAAAATGAATAGTGAAAAACGTCTAGGTCAAGGGAAACTTTTGTGTTTCTCAGGAACAGAGAAAGGTAATAGTAGTCTCTGCTATGCACATTCCAGGTCCATTTGTACAACAATATTTTTATGTTGTTGGTCCTTAGCATTCATATAATACAAAGTGGCATGTTTATCAACCAATTCAGAAGAGGCACTTGGCTGGTGTTTTCTAAAAGTTGAGGCTACATTGAGACTGGGAAGAGCCACCTCCCAGAGTTCCCCTGTTATGTTTGTCTTAAGGGAAAGGCTAAATGCAGAACTACCTCAAGTTTGGATAATACCCTTCCAAAGCTCTGGTCTTCCCAGAAGTGACTGCATCTATCCTCAAATTGCTGAAAATATCTGGCATACTTGCCTTGGTTTATATTTTTAAATCTAAGCAAAAGGAAATGATTTTATTACTGAGAAGTGCATAAAGGTTTTGCAGATTTCTTTCTCCACTGCAATAAGTTACAGGCATATGAGCAACCTGAAACAAAAGTAAAATATACTTCATTATATGAAAAATAATCCCTAGCTGGAAAGTCTGTTGATTTTATCTTGTTGTCATAATATAAGGTCCTCTGAGAGTATGCTTCCTATATTCTTTGTAGTGGAGATATCTTTCTTTGTCAAATGGAAATATGTTTATTCCTATGAGAAATGAGTTCTTTGGATTTATAGCCCTGAAGACAAATCAATTTTACTGTGCACACACAATTCTGTGTATTTTGTTTGTGCTATCTATTGTATATTTTGTGAGCTTTTGAAGATTTCTAGTCACTTTACTTCCAAACTACTTGATGTGGTATCAATTTTTAACCTACTTAATGATGCTCTATAGGATTGCATGCAGAATAAGTTTACATGGATTCAAGAAACAATAGGCTATACTTAATAAAGTTACTAATTAGTTGTTATTATTATGATGATCTTTGACCAGAGAAGCATAGCCTTGCTGTGAGCAATCTCTCCATACAAGATGTCCAAATTTAATACCAAATTAAAATAGGAGACGTTGCTCAAAGGAGAGAGACTATCAGGACATAAGAATTTTACATGGGGTGAAAGGTAAAATTTAAAGTAAGAAGAAAATTTAAAATCGGGAAGGGGGGGAAGGGTAGCGATACAAAAGAAGAGGGAGGGAAGAGGATAAAATAGCACTATGGGTAGCTTCAAACCCCATAAGGAATTATTGTTTATTTCCCTAAAATTATATACAATACATATAAATCAATGTTTATACATATATAGCTTAAGGAAGCTATACCACTTGGTCTGACAAGGATCTCTACAGGAGCCACAGACTATATAACAAACCCCCAATACCAGTCATAAGAAACCACCACTGAAATTCTTGTTTGGAGGAGACAAAGGCCCTCACCCCCCAAAAAACATAGGCTATTGCTGTTGCCATTGGTTGCTTCCCAAAAGTTTAAGGTAAGGCTTTATTACTGAAGATACCGTGTTTTTTCAATCCGAGATCTGATCTAGATCTGACTTGAACACCTCCTCCCTGAAGGAGAACTAGTTCTCACGGTGCAGAAGAGGCTACACAGGCTTCCGAAGGAAGGAAGGAACCAATGGTATAGCTCCGTGAACCACCACCACCACCACAAAACCAACAACAAAAACAGCATGGCATGATAACCCTGAGGGGATAATAGTGGCACCCATGTCTGGGCAGTAAACAACAGCTTTCCAATTGGACTTAGATCCTGTTCAATAGGCAGAAAATCATGTCTGGTACTAGAAACACAGCCAACTGCCTGAGGCTAGTGAGGCCATGGGTCTTAGGGAACAGCCTACTGTTGCCACTTTACTGAATCAGTATGATACCTAATAGGTTTCTAAATATATACTCTTAAACTCACAGATAAATATAGCTCCCCCCCCCACCCTCACAAAAAAAGCTTCTCTTTTAAATACATGGAGATTACAGAAAACTGACTGCCCTAAAGCAGAGAACATGTGAAAGTAGAGATCCCAGCCTCAGTGAATGCATCTATAGCATAACTCCTGCACCCTAAGCCCAGGGAAGTTCTTAGTAGAGGGGGCAGAAAGGTATTAGAGCCAGAGGCTGAGGAGGACACCTTCTGTATAGATATGTCTCCTAGAAATGACAGGGAAGATACGCTAATGATACTTTAACCATGCGGCTGTCTAACCAAGACTCAAGGAAGTACACCACCAACTGACATGCTAACCCAGAAGGGGGAAATTCCATGGGGCTCTTTCCCTAGACAAAGAAATACAGGCCACGAAGGAATGCTGAGAACAGAAGAAATTGTCTTCTTTGAGAATGAACTCTGTAATTGATTTCCTAATGTCAAATGATCAGACCTGAAATCATGTCTACAAATTACACTGAAAGGACTAAACAGGTTGTATGTCTATATGTACAAGTTATACAGCCAGTCTCTCTCATACAGACATGCAAACACACACACACACACACACACACAGAGAGAGAGAGAGGGGGGGGTATATGAAAAAGAAGTTATGATTTCAAGTGGGATCAGTAGAGTACATGGGATGGATTAGACTATAATCATCGGAGGGGAGAAAAGGAAGGTTAAATTATGCAGCATTTAACTTAAAATGATATTTAAATGATACTTCTCTCAAAGAAAAATGATTGATGACCAATTATCCATGAGGTGTGGGCAGAGTTAACTTCACCTGCTCACCTGGGGCCTGTTTTCAGTGAATTAACCTTACTCATTTGTTAGACTTTACAAAGCAAGTTGAAATGACAAAAAAAAAATGTTTTCCAAAAGAGTGCAGTGTGACTGTGTCCGGGTCATGGTAGTATTTTGTTTGTTTTCTGGCGTGTGAGGTGGGGTTTCCCTGTAGGCCTGCCTGGCTTGGAACTCACTACATAAACCAGACTGGCCTTGAACACACTGAGACAGCCTGCTTCTTTCTCCTGAGTACTGGGATAAAAGGCTTGTACATTTGGCTTGCAGGTTTGTTTCTAGAAGGCAAACCTCAGAACTACCATCCCTGAATGGGTTTCTAGGCACTTATAAGGACACAGGACACTTTTCCCCTTCTAACCACACACTTGTCAGTTTTAATAATATTATTGTATACGAGTAAATAACTTTAAATGCTACCACTTTCACTTGCCTTTCTTTCTTAAAAAAAACCTCTTATCCCTTCTGATTGCCAGGGAGTAGCACAAACACTTAGGCTCACTAAAGGATAAAGTGTGATACTGTTGTATTTCGGTGCCACATTTAAACCCTAACTGAACAGGACGTGTTTACCTTCCTACAATTTTCCTGTGTCATTTTCTCCCATCCCTTTCCTTTCCTTATTGTTCCGTAAATTTAGGGCTCCTTGTTTGGTTTCTCATGCATCTGGATGCATCTCAGCCCAACCTGTCTGTGTTTTACATACTACAGGGCATTCAACATGAACTAACACATTCTTAGCTTTTACCCAATGCAGAAGTATGTGGTATTGTATCTAGACAGGCAAATGGCATAAGAATAAGATCGTGGGATTGAGCACAAATCACTAACTGGATCCGCTGTCCTTCTGGTAGAACTAAAGGTATAACAGCAATCCAAAAGCATTAGTCATTATTATAACAAATCAATAGCTGCATAATAAGCAGAAAAAAAATTTCATGTGATGCTTTTCAAAGCTATGGGGAAAGTGGGAAATAAGTTGTTCTGAAGATTCTAATTTGAGTTTTAGTTTTCTTCCCACTGAATCACATTGTTTTCATGAAGCAAATAATACATGTTTCTCCAGCTTCACAACTTGTAGTAAAAACTAATGGCACAGTCCGAATATGGAATGTAAGCCTCTTGCATTATTATACACAATAACGAGGGCTGTCTCCCTCATTTTTCTCCACATAATAATACCTACGCTTTTGTTGCATGAGAGAAATAGATTATACAATTTGCAAACTGCTGTGCCGTTGTTGATATTTCTGGACAGCACTTAAAATAACAATTAGAACAGTAAGAGTAAAGCAGAGATGAAGGAATCCTGTTCAAATGGCCTATGTGGAAACTGCTTCATGCTGATAGGCCCAGCACAGCAGAGCATCTCTGCCTTGAGCAGGCCATGATGCTATGTGTGAGCCCTGTGTTTGAACCGTTGTTTCTATGGTAATGAACTCTATTTGCTGGTTGTGTGCTGCCTCTCCATTTCTTGTTCCTGATCTCCAGAAGACTTGATCTACATCACAGAAGCACCCAGAACTTCCCTGCCTCATCCCAGTTAACACCAGTCCCTCAAAGCACAGTGATTTCTGTTCTGATGATGTCGGCATCCACCACATCAGTATGAAGAAGCCACAGGTTGACTCTGGGGTCGCCTTCATTGAGGAGTGGAGCTCAGAACACCTTATACCACAGACTGTTTTGGCATTCTACTGCCAAGTGATAATGGAAAAGTATAAAGTAGCTGAACAAAAGAGAAAGTAACCTCAAAGTGTAAACCAAAAAAATAAGTTAAAATCTACAAGGAAGTTTCTCAATACATTATAGAACATTTTGCTGTCCATTTAATAATCATCATACTTTAAAATTGGCAATCATGACATTCATGACATCTTACATACGAGGACTAGTCGCATGTAGTAACAAAGCCTAGGATTGTCTTGGCACAAAAGTTACCAATTCTACCTAATGTCATTAGGGCTTATTGTTGGTCTGCTTACTTGGTGGAAATGTTAAATAAGAAAAACAGAGGGAAAGTTTATTTTTGAAGCCTAGGTTTGGGACACGAGGGCAATGGGATTCCTACATGTGATCCCATTGATTGACAGGATGGATTCTGCTGGCCTGGGGGCTCAGTACATGTTCCTTTCTTCCCTTATCACTCCATGCCCCTCAGAACTGGAGCAGAAATAGACCAGAAAAAAAATAAATAAATAAAAATAAACGCATTCTTTAGTACAATTTTATTCAAGTATACTCAAGTAACGTATTTCCAATAAATAACCTTAGAAAGTACTTAACTGTGAAAAATTATGGTGGAATTTTCTCTTTCACTTGTAGTTTTGGTTTTTGGGTCTTTTCCTGGATGATAAATGCCACTTGGATCTATTAATTTATGCAAAACAGTTACTGGGGACTGTGCCATGACAAAATGCATACAGTCAGTGACTTGCCAACGACACGAATTTTGTACGGTTCTGGCCTCTGGAGTCCGAGGACAAGGCTCTGGCACGTTCATTTTGACAAGGGAGCATCCTCTCATATTTGGCATTTTTGTGCTGTGCTCTTGTGTGGCAGAAATCCAAGGTTCTTTTAGGGCCTTTGCACAGTTCTTTGTTTTAAGAACTGTCCTTCCTGTACAGTCCCGGCTGTCCTAGAACCCTTATCCTCCTGCTCTGTCAAGCAGTGCTAAGATGAAAGGCCAGCCTTCTCAGGGCCACTATGGCCTCTTTATTAAAAACAATAATCTCAATGATAAAGGCTGTGTATTTGTCAAGGCATTTATTTCCAAAGCCCCACCCTTTACCACCTTTAGGATTAGTATTTTAATATATCACTTCGGTCATATACGCATACCTGGGGCACCAGGTAGTTAATCTCCAGCATGAGATAAGAAGTCATTGAAAAGACAAAAAGCAAGTGAAGGTTTTTATTTTACTGATAAACCACTTTTTGCTGTATCCTCGAATTATCAGCAACTCGAAATTGTATTTGCCTTCTGTATTTCTAATTGTGTATCAATACACTTACCTCTTTACTATATGTAGTATTGCAATAGTTTATCATAGTCTGTGTTCTGAAATAAATCCTGGATTTGAAAAAGGCAATTAAGCAATACAGGCTCTCTACTTTTATTTCTCATTTATGTTTTCTGACACTGGTTAGAACAGTTTGTTTCACTGCATGAATCCTAGCTTATAGAGAGCCCATGCCTATAACACAAAAGATGTCACTCAAAAGAACATCACATCTATTTTTCCTTTAACTTTCAGGCTGAGCAGGACAACGGCCACCCGCTTCCCGCCTTTGCTAGTCTACATATCGAAATACTGGATGAAAACAATCAGAGCCCGTATTTCACAATGCCCAGCTATCAAGGGTACATCCTGGAATCTGCACCAGTGGGCGCCACCATTTCTGAGAGCGTAAACCTAACCACTCCTCTGAGAATTGTAGCTCTGGACAAAGACATAGAAGACGTAAGTTCCATCGATATCTTTGTAGTGTGTGTTGATATCCTCTCCTTTATGTATATCCATAGGAAGTAGTACAAAATAATAGCTACACAAACCACAAAGCAGAGAAAAAACAAAGTTGGTGTAGAGCATCTTTGTTCTGTTGTAGTTTAACTGCATATCAGAGGTATTTTTCAAAGTGTGTTTTGTTTAAATGGTGTTCTTCACTGTAGCTGTTCTGCATATGAAAGTCAGCGAATGGTTCACTTGGTGCTTGCTAAATCACCAGGGTGATCTTTTGTGTTAATATAAATTGAAATATGTGTGATATTAGAAAAATAATGGCATTATAAAGTGACTATAAAATCACGAGATCAGGATTAAGGAGGAAGTTGCTTCCTGGCAGGTGCAAAGACCTCAGCTCAGATCCTGAACACCCACATAAAGAAAGTGTAGCCAGTAAGTGAGCTCCAGACCAATGAAAGACCACTAACAATAAGGTGTGGGGGAAATGCCAGATTTTCACCCTTGGCCCCCTTGTGTGGATGCACACCCACCCACTGGCATGTGTCCATGCATTCCACAAAACACAGATGCAGGTGCATTTCTACACCACACACATGTACCATATGTACACACACACACACACACACACATATATGTATCACATACACATATAAATAAGTAAATAAATAAATAAAAGATGAAACAAAAAGTAAAAATTAAAAAATGTGAATCAATCATTTAAAACTAAAACCATTCCTGAAAGCAGCCCAGAGTAGCATCTTGGAATTCCCTTCCATTGTGAAGGCAGGCTATTAAGGAAGACATCTTGGGGACCATTGACACACGCATACTTCAGCTAGTGGCTGGTGAGGCTTCTGTTCCTCCAGGTCCTGTCTGGCTGACTTCTGCTCTTGTTGTATTGACCTTGTTGGTGTGAGTGGAAAATAGTCCAGCTGAGCAAAATGAGAATAATTTATCCCATTGGCCAGAGATATTTTATATGAAGACTGGATAGAAAATCCGTGTGAGTCAACCCAGAGTCCTCTAAGAAATTACGGAGGGAGAAGCAGAGTGAGGAAGCTTGACATCATTTTTATAGAAGAAATGAATGTGGTGTCTTGGTAGGCAATCAGCTAATATAATACTAACAAGGAAAGCAAGCTACCAGAGAAGGGGGGGCATAGCAGAGTCCTGAGGAGGCATTAGATCCAAGAGCTGTCCTTATTCCCTAAAATCCACTTCCAGCTATTCATCCTTCTGCTTCCACCCCACGAGCCCTGGGATGACAGGCCTGCACCACAACACCTGGCGTTAATTTTTTAAAAATTTAATTGACAAATAGAAGTGTCCCATTTGAGTAAATGAACAGCACTGCTCTAGAGCCTCCTTAAATTGTCCATCACAATGTTCTCTTCTGTTCTTTGTCTTGATGCTTGCCTTCCTGGTTCTTGTCTAACTCTTTGGTCCTTCTTTGTTTCTTCTACTCTTCATCTTGAATCACGTTTTTAACCATAGTTCTCTCAAGTTCTTCATCTCTGCTTGGAAACAGGAGAATGCCCCACCTCTAAAACTCTGTATTTCCTAAAGGGACATTGAATGACTTTAAAAGCGCAACACTTGATTGTGTGACACTTCTAAGGATGTATATATGATTTTTAATTAAACTTTTAGATTAGATTACACACTAGATTCCTTTGTACTTGAGATAAAGGAATACCCAATCTCACACACATAACACTTCTTGTATCTTGAACACTTGGCCATGTTCAATTTCTGAAACTTTCTGCTGACCTGAGCAGTCACTGACACTTCTCATAATTGCCAAACTATGCCTTTGCTAAATTATTTTGCTTCACTTTCATGGTCTGAGGGGTCCCATCTTTTTATATAAAACTATTTTGGCTGGATAACATTTTTTTTGGTGTTTGTAATTCATCTCTTGTGGTTCCTCATTCAAAAAATCTTTTTCTTTTATAATCCACGCTGAGGTTTGATGTCCCCCTTTGATGTATTTTTCTAACACACTTGAGATTTTTCAGTTTCAGTCTTTCCCCTTCACTGAGCTTAAATCTCCTCGTGGTAGATCTCAGATCATGATAACTTGTGTGTTATTCATACGACTTCCCACCCCTCAATAGATTTTGATAACTCTCCAGTGTACTGATAAACTCAGACATGGTTGAAGGAAGAAGGACATCAAGCATATGCTTCAGATAGCTCAAAGATACTGAGTTACTCGATTCAGGTACTCTCTGTACGGCCCTTCCAATGGTTGGTCAACATCAATTCTTAGAGAACTCCCTATTATATTGGCATAAGCCATTTACTTACAACTCATCCATGATTTTTAAATTCTACACTCACTGGAACACAAAATAAATCACAAAATAGACATTAATATGTTTGAAAATGGATATTTGTCTGTCTGGATCATCTGTTCTTTTTCTTTGAAAACACTTTTCAATATTTTTAGAAGAAATTGGTTCGTTTCTAGGAGTTTCCAAATATCTACATTAACAAAAATAAATACCAAGGTTGTTTCAACTTACAGTCAAAGTATTTACTACCTGGTAAAACCAACTTGCTCTGAAAGGGGTGAGAATTAGCGAGAATAACCAGCAAAGGGCAGCAGTCTAATAAGACTTACAGAAATGAGCAACCTCAAGAAGATATTATCAATATCAAAAGAGACTGGCCTCAAGCAAGAGAAGCCAGGGCTCACTGCAAAGTGATTTCCTTTGGGCTGCTTCAGGGATAGGCAAGGCTAAGGCTACATGCCAACTGGATCATCTCCTGCAGATGGTAAATTACATCCTACAGATGACTTTTTCCTTCTACCAAGAAAAAGCAAGACAAGATTTCAGGAAATAAGAGCCAGGTTTGCTGAGTTATAGCCATGCATAGTGTGGACTTGGAGTTCAAAAGCACTCTGAACATCACTGTAAGATGGAAAAATTACTAAAGAGAGCATCCTTGTATTCTTTATTTTTCATAGATCAAAATGCACACATACATGAAATGCTTGCTTACATCATTTAGCAGTACAGCCAGTAGTACAGCTCTGAAATAGTTCTTCCTGGAAGGGCACCGAGAGCTGCACAAGGCTTACAACAGAACTGAGGCCGCTGGGCTTCCAAGGGCAGAGCCAGGAAAAGCTGAGCATTGACCGTCTCTGTAAGAGCACATGAGGTGACAATCAGCAGTTATCATTAGCTTGTTTGATGATAGGGATTCACTAACAAGTCAATAAAAGTATTGATATTTTATGATTTTAATCAATATACGTTTTAAGGTATTATGTACTTATAAGTAGATACTTGTAAAATTGTAATTCTGTCATACATGTGTCAACTTGCTAAGAAAAAAAATAGTTGTATATTTCATGGACAATGTTGTTAGTTTAAGAGAACTTCATCCCTTCTGTTGTGTATTTGTGTGCATTGGATAGGCATGACCTTTGTGTTTACCGTGTTTATTTTGTGTCTGATTCCATATAGGTGCCACCTGGTGGAGTTCCTGTAGGTACTAGGTTGTTGGTTTTGTGATTGCCAGTTGCCGTGTATCACTTCTAGCTCTTTTTTTCTTTCAAATAAAACTTTATTATCACTTACTAATACCTAAGTGATAATTTAGTCAAAAATAATATTTTTAATGTTATTTAAACTTTGATTAGTTTCTGAGTCTGCTACAGGCATTAGAAATTCGTCATGGAATTTCTCTTCTAAAAGGTTCTAAATTTGGATGGAGTAGTATTGATCTAAGTACTTTAGGACTCTATTGCTAACTAATTAAAACTGACAAGTTGGATAAGATTTCTATCATTTCCTGTCATTCTTTGTCATGTGAATATATGCACATGAACATGCATACATGTATACACATGTATAGGCATGCTTTATATGCACATATACAAACATGCATATTGTCTCGCATGTATGAGATAATATTTTGACTCACTCAGATGTCTAACTGTTTTCAACTCTTATAAATGTTCATGTGAACCCAGGTCTATACAGTGAAGACTTATTTGATATTTCATTTTACATTCAAAAAATTATTTACCTTTTTGTATATACATTTGTTTTTGTATTGGTTTTTATCCTGTTTTGTGAGTGGATTAGAATTTATTTTACCCTACCCCAATCCATAGCAATACACTAACAGATCATATATTTGGTGCATACTGCATGGATGGTTCAGGGTAAAATAAATCATATCTTATGTGACAGTCGAAAATATTGTTCATTACTAAATTCTTTATATTTAGCAAGCTGCAGTTCATTTTAGAGTCACATAGACATGACTACTCCATGAACTCTCAATGAGGTCAGAGCACTTTGACACTTAAGTGACAATTTGCTCAGTATTTCTAATTCTATCAAAAATGTTTGTTCTTGAAGGATCACTAAGGTATTTAGCAATAGCATTTATACATGCATTATAGAAATGTAATAGGTTCCTATTGTAAAAGTAAAAATATAAGTGACAAGGAAAGCTGTATTGTAGTAAGAGATGAACCGCAGGACAGAGTAGAGCAATCTGGTGTGTCCCGTGACATTACAGGCCCATGTAAGGCGTTAATAGTCACCTCTAGGGTACACTATCTCCATCTATAGTCAATTTCTAGTGGAAGACTCAATAGCACTCCTTTGTTTTTCTGAGAACACTAACCTGACCCCCACGGCATGGGCACAGAAGTGCACACAGACAAACACACACTGTGTTGCAGGTTCAAAAGAACAGCATTCATTTCGGAGATTTTTGAAATATACACAAAAAACCACACAGGGGAAAGCTTGTGGTTCAAAGTATGCCCATTTTGATGTAAGTAGTCATTTTTTTCTTTCTACTCAGAAATTTTAAATTGTAAGTTCTTATTTTTTTCTCAAATTAACACACTTGACAACCCCCTGCTCTCTGCTCTGTGATTAATACCTAGCAAAAGACCTACGAAGGCATTCTCAAACACATTGCATTATGATAATAATTTAGAGGGAGCACACATAAGTGTACTTGTCTCCTGCATCGCCCAGCTTTATAAGTCTGCAGGACTAGATTCCCCTGACTTCCTTTCATTTTCTCCTGCTCCTCCCTTGTTTACTGTGCAAGCAATAATCCCAGGTCCCTACCTCTGCTTCTCCAAACAGTAGTGAATGGTGTCTCACCATTGAAGGGGGTGGGTGAGGAAAACCATGAAGGGTTTTCAATGCTATGCTAATTATCTTAGTTCTGAATGTTTTTTAAAAAAGTTTCCTCAATATAATTTTATCTAGGCTCTTTGACAGGCATGAATGTTAAGATTACATATATTTTCTAGCAAATAATCTGAAATATTTTAATTAAAATATTGTGTTTTCCTTTGAAGAACATTACAGTATTAAAATGAGACAGAAAAAGCAAGTCTAATATTTATGGGTAATGAATAATGCATCACCAATTTCATTCCTGTTTTACATTGAAAGTGAGAGCAACACAGTAGCATGCATATGCTCAGTTTATTGCGACAAATGAAGTGACTATAAAATTTTACAGCTGAAATTCTAGGCTCCAATTTTCCTTTCTTCCTATTATTTCTTATATCTTGGATCCAAGAAAGCCCAGAAATTTTTATATTAAATAACCAGCAGAAGTACATTCAATTAGCTCATTTCCTGCTCTTTCTTACTGTTGTCTTTCCTGTTTGACGTTAATTGTGCTAAGACCCACTTCAGTATTCTGGGGCCCATGTTGTATGGCTTTGGTTGCTTGGGAGTAAGTGCCACCTGAATACCTCTTTTCCTTTAGGAATTGTTGATATGATGACATGTATTTATAATAAATTTCAAAGCTTAATTTTCAGGCAACACACTAAAAGTCCATTGTGTGATAACCATGTTTAAACATTGTATTTTCTTTCAAAGACAAAAGATCCAGAACTCCACCTTTTCCTGAACGATTATACCTCAGTCTTCACTGTTACCCCCACCGGCATCACCCGCTACCTGACCCTCCTTCAGCCTGTGGACAGGGAAGAACAGCAAACATATACCTTTCTGGTAAAATAGTTCATACATTATATTCTCATAGCTGAAACTGATATTAAAGTTGATGAGGTCAATGATTTGTAGGTAAAAACATGCCATGTCAGATAGAAGAGAAAATATCAATACATTCATTTTCTCTTTTACTCTTTATAAATGTGTGCCATTGGAGAATAATTGGAGAATGTGCCATTGCAGAATAGCTGTGTTATTTACTCACTAGAGAGACATATTTTTCAATCTTTGCCTTACAGGGGTGATTGATATAAAGCGAAACCCAGCAAATAAAGCATTATTTTTAACTTTGGTGATGTGAATGCATTTTTCAATTTCACTGCTGTCTGAATCGGGTGGTTCTCAACTAGCAATGATTTCCCTGTTTAGAGAACTCCTGTTGATGTGTGGAGTGTGCTCCAGACACACACTGGTTCAAACAGTGGGCGCTGTTGGACAGGCCACTGTGCACACAGGAGCCCAGCACCAGAGAGCCTCTGCACCAGGATGTCAGGACTATTGAGACAGAGAACTTGAGTGTGATTTACTAGAGGGAGAACGAAGGTCCTTCAAGTTATGGTTTGTAGCTATTTATCATGGCACAGGATACAAATGCATCAAACACTCATACGTCATAGAGATCAAAGAAAGTTTAATTATAGCCAAACTCCCAAATGAAGCAAAAGAAAAAAGTGAATGAGAAAAAGGCACACATTATGGGGCTGACTTGGGAATTCATCCTGGGAGAGCCCATGTAGCAGGTGCCTGTAGCTTCCAGAAAGCTCCATACAAAAATTGAAGCTTAGATATGTAGTAGATTTTAGAAACCATTCAGGCAAGATGGCCAACAGATGGCTGCAACACTCATGTGTATTAGGTACTGCTAAATTGTCAATAAGGTAACTAAGATATCTTGAGTAATGAATGTTGGTGGATCATTTATGTCACCATTTTACATACTAATAGAATATTACACTGCATATCCACGGCCTTCATTTACTTAATTAATATGAGAATGCTAATTGTGAAATAATTGCCTTCTATGCAAATTCGATAATCATGAAGAAAAATTGTCAGTAATATATTAGGGAAAAATTGTGATTGGGATGTGGGATAGAGCTCAATTGGTGGGTTACTTGTCAAGGATGTGTGAGGTCCTAGGTTCAGTCACCATTACTGCATAAACCAAATGTGGTGGTGCATGCCTTTAATATCAATACTTTGGAAGTGGAAGTAGAAATATCAGACGATCAAAGTTAAAGTCATCCTCAACTTTATAATGAGTTTGAGGTCTGTATAGGATTCCTGTCTCAAACACAAGAAATGTATTTAATTTTGAAACGTCAGCAACATCATCAGTCCAACATATGTTTCCAAAACCTTTTCATATCTCATTATTTAAAAACTTTTGTAACCATATGGGGTGTCCTCAGTAATTGCTTATTAAGACACTGAAATACTTTGGATTCACGTGTAATCCATGTCTTACTAGGTCACTTTGTTGAAAGCATAGCTTAGCATATTTTTAAATCACATTTTAAAATGTATTAGTTTGTTAGAGTAACTTCTTTGCGCTTATGGTTATGGGATTTCTCCACTAAGTGTGTTCTATTTCTGCACAGATAACAGCATTTGATGGTGTACAAGAAAGTGAACCAGTTGTGGTCAATATCCGAGTGATGGACGCAAATGATAACACACCAACCTTCCCCGAAATCTCCTATGACGTCTATGTTTACACAGACATGCGTCCTGGGGACAGTGTCATTCAGGTAACACTGCTGGATGTGAGGTCTACTTGCAGGAGGCCTTTCTAGGGCACCACACATTGCTCTCCCTGGGGATTGAAAATTAGCTTCAGACATACAAATAACACAGCTTTAGAAAGTTCCTAGTTGACGTTAGGGTTTCAGATAAAAATAAATATCCTGGGATGGCAACAGGATGGCTCAGTGGGTAAAATCACTGAGTGCACAAGTCACATGTTCTATGTTTGATGCCCAGAAACCATGGTATAGGACTGAACCACATCAAGAAATATGCATACATGCACACATGCATTCATACACCACATGCACACATGCACGTGTGCACGTACACACACACTAACAATGAACAGCTACAATATTGATGAGATATGAAGTAACTATTGCATATAAACAATCATTTGACCTGCTGATGCTTGGGTTTTTAAAATTTTTCAGCTTACTGAAAATGATTAATTAGTGTTTCCACACATAATTTAAATATTTAAATTACCTTCCACTGTTGTGGAAATGGGCTAAGCTTTCTTTGCTGGCATACATAAAAGATTGCATTAATAAATCGGTAGATTGACATAGTAGATATTGCATACCTGGTTAAAATCAAATCATTACAGCAGAGAAATTTTCGATTAGATAGTAAACGGTTCTTTTGAAAACATGTGAATTGGACAAAATTATGTTCTCAATTTGTTCTATTTTTCACATTTAAATAATTACAAGCCATCGCAAATTCCTTTAGCATTCTGACTATTTGGAATAGAAGGCATAAAGACTTGATCATAACAATCTATGAGGGTCTTTAAGAATCCAAAGTATAGTTGATTTTAATATTTTCCAAGCCATCTGTTCTACATTTTTCTGGGGAACTTGTTAGACAGACAGCCTTTAAGTTTCACTTTAGAGTTTCAGGATGTTTATCTCAGAGGACAAAGCATAGGTGGTTCACACTGGAAATACAGTTCCCTGGGTTCAGCTGTACAACCTTGAAGAAACCCAGGCCTTCTCTGACCCTAAGGTTAGACCTGCTCATGTTAAGTCACTTTCTGGTCTGGGATGCCGCAATCCTGCATACTCATTACAGTATCTGGCAACAAATGATTGTAAATTATTCATTTGTACTGAATAATGACAAAATAAGTAGTGTTAAATGTTAGTGCATAGTTTGTCATGAGATAAACAGGTCAGGAAGTTTTGAAAACTGGCCTAATACCTCTCCTGTGGGTACAGCATTATCTTCATGGTATTGTCCTTGGTCCTTCATTTAACTTCATTAAATTGGTCCTCATCCCAACTTCCCCATTTTCATTTCCTTGAATTATTTCTTCCTTCTGATTCCTTTCTTCCTATGGATGGGTTTTGTTCTTTGCTCTCTTCCCTGTGCCCTCTCACCTTCTTTTTCTCCTAAGTCATCATCCTCTTGTTCCGTCATCACTAATTTGCTACTAAGAATTACGTAGCTCCTATGCTCGAATCTCAGAAGCAAAATGCTTCATTGCCACAGTGTGATGTGACAAGGAAGGGTTTCTACCAGGATGTCAGTTGTCTCTGTGTGTGCACAAACACCTATGGATCTCTGTGTACATAGACACACATATATGAGCACAGGCATACGCATACGTGTACACACGTGAACTACAAAGACAAGCACATGAATAAACATCTATACGCTGTGTTCACATACAAACAACTCTGCATGTATACTCACACATGTACATCTATACTCACACACCTGTGCATGTAGTACATACACATATACATGTGCATGTTCACAGATACACACACACCTGCCCATGTGCACATACATACATACTCTATGTATATCTTTCCCTCTAGTTAAAAGCCAGGCCCCTTATAAACATCTGAGATGTCCTTGCTTTCCTCTGTTCCTCAGAGCCAAACTTTCAGAATTCATCACCCATTTTTCTATATTTGCTGCTGCAATGCCAGCACATACCAGGAATATTTTCTGTGCAAGAAATGCATGTTCTGATGAAATGTCATTGCCCACTTATACTCTTCAGTGTGAGCGGGAAGCCATCGATTCCTTCTTTTACTCAGCCTGGGAGTTTCTGGGGTCTTAGGAAAAGGAATGATGCAATTCTGCGTGAGAATCTCTCTGTGTGTTCCCTGTGTGTGTGATCCTGAAGGACCGGCTTCACACGGATCCACCAACGTTCTCCACACACTCCTGTGGCCCTTCTCACACTGAGGGATTAGTTCTAGCTCATTTATTTCTATAGCAGACCTGTAATTAGTTCATTTGCATATCTATAGTACCTGGGTGTAGGAGTTGATTAACAGAGTAGGTGCTGAAGGTGTGTGTTTGAGACAAAAGAAAAGAATGTCTGTGCAAGGAGGTGAAGGATGGGGACTCATAAGCCTGCATCCTTTATTTCTGGTCAATCTGTGAACCGGGCACATTTTTCATTTAAAAGCCATCTTTCAAAGGTAGCAGATAAGGGACTGACAATTATTTTCATGTTTTTATTTAATTAGACCTGATTCTCATCTCTATAATGGTGTAATTAGACATAAAAGGAAGTTTATATAGAAAAGCAGCCGGCAGGGAATGGGAAAGTTTAACTAAGAAAACGATAGTAATTATGTGGGGAAGCGTAGCTCAAAAATGCTTGCCCTCAGGGATCAAAAGCTTATTTCCGGCATTTGAGGTCTACAAAAGTTAATTTCCCTTATGTATCTGTTTCTAAAACAGATCTTGCTTTGCATTCAAAGATTTATATTGTGTGTATTTCCCTGAACCATGCAGATCATGAAGACAGACTGTTGTTTGTGTCTATATGCCTTCAAGATTTTTTTTTAATTATTTAAAAGCCAAGAATTTAAGGTTCATAATTAGTATTTGCAATGTTATTCCTGGTGCGTGCAGAAAGAACTGTGTGACTGTTAATCATCCGGCAAGAGACTAGCGATAAAAATAAAATTGATTTCCCAGGGAGAGAAAACTTGAAAATAAAGCAAAGAGATTCAGTCTGCAAATGCCATGTGAGGTTCTGACCCATTTCTGTGCTCCTCCTTCCCACCATTGACACCCCTGACCTGCCAGACAGCAGCCATTTGGCTTGTTGCTTAAGAACCTGATGTCATATGAGTGATGGTCTTACAAGGCAAAGGTGAGAGCAAGCACCCTCCCAAAAAGCGAGTCTTCATTACAAGTTCAGTAATGTCACTGTCTGTGTGTCTGAGACTGTTTAGCCTGCCGGAGCCCAGGTCCATTTCTGAGTGCAGTGTCTTTTTGGTAGGTGGTAGCTAGCATAGCCTATAGGAGGTGGATAGGTTGTACATGAAGAGTGAAGCCAGACCTATCTCAAATGTTTCAATTAAAACCTCTGGGTCTATGTGTTGGCCTTATTCTTGGATACTGTTAACAGACCATCGTGAATCTTGCATGAATGACTAATGAGGCAAACTTTGATTGTCTTAAAGTAGCTCTTTAACATTGTATATCTGGGCTGGAATCTAAACACTATACCCAGGTAGAACTCTTTTGGTCTTCAATCTACCCTGAACTCACTGAACAACAGACTACCATTGAATTCCTGTTTCTCATGGCTCCACATACCAAATGCTGGGATTGTAGAAGAGGTGCCACTATGTTGAGTTTATGTGGTGCAGGGTGGGAACTCAGGACACTATGCATGCTAGACGGGCACTCTGTGAGCTAAGCAATATCTTCAGCTCTTCATTCTGCCGCCCTACTCCGTTCATTCACCTCAGTGACAAAAGTATCTGGATGTATGTATCAATGCACGTGTCCACATAGCTGTAGCGACCCCTCTTCTTTCTCTCTGCCCTTCTCTCTGAGCTGCATGTTCTAAACTTCACTCATGCATCCCTCTGCATTCACATAGAGCCACACATCTCCCTAGTGTCCCATGACATGTCAGACTCGAAAGCGTTTCTTTGAGTCTTCACTCTGGGTGACACCTGTTAAGGATGTGGAAGATAGGAGATCTTCCAGTGAAAGACCCCCATTTGGGGAGACTCTCACTCGAGCCTCGGGAAGACGCGAACCCCCCCAGTAACTCACGAGAGACCGTCCTTGCTGCAATCACACGAGGTTTAATGACAAGACGACAAGACGGGAACCAGTGCACTGGGGCCGAGACTCATAACCCATGCATGGGAAGAGTTCGACCTCCAGTGACCGGGAGAAGTAGTTTTTATAGGAAGAAACCACATAGCCCAGTAATCCGAAAGGGGGGGCAGGGAGGATGTCACAGAAGATTCTGAAAATTCCAGTGATGATTACAAAGGGGGCAACTCCCTGCCTCTCAAGATCATTCTCAAAGGTTGTAATCAGCTAGTTCCTATTCCGGTGATAATTACTAGGGGATGACAATTACTAGGGGGAATCTCTTTGTCTCTCAAGATTACTCTCAAGATTACAATCCACCTTTTTCTTCAGCTAGTTTCTGGAACCCTGGAACTGGTTAACCTTAGATTTCTGATTCTTCTCTTCCTGCTAGGTTTTTGGCTCTATTTTCCTGTTAGGGGGATCTGGATTTATCCAGGTCTTTCACAGGAATAATTGGGACTCCGGGACTCTGGCAGGATGCTCTGCACTCAAAGGCGGATGTGATGAGTACAGGTGTAATACCTGCCGGACACAGGTCTACTTGGAGAAAAGTTCAAATTGATAGGAGACTGAGACATTTGCTTTCCTTTTACTATACTAAATATAGTCTGCCTTGTCCCTCTAACACTGTTACTGCTAAAGGCTCTTCTATCATTCAGTCTCAGACTTTGAGTCCTGGGTGACAACACACTTCTGCTAAAGACTTTCTAGCTGACCATCATCACCCTTCCCAGGGTACCTGCTTTGCTTAACTTTTGAATCCACATGTTTCGGAGTACAAGACAAGACTGCTGTGTGTGTGTCAGTTAATCTGTCAGTTGGTCGGGGAAATCTCATTTAATAGTGGCAAGAAGGCTTCTTGGTGTCACTTTTACATTCTTCTGAGATGTGTGGACACAGAATGTAGGGT